TGAAGTTGAAAAAGCGATAGGAAATCTGAAGCGAGGGCGAGCTGCAGGTCCTGATAGACTGACCCCTGAGATTTTTAAGGATGTTGGTTCAGTTTTAGCAGCTAGGTTGACTGAGATCTTAAGTAGAATCTGGGAACTGTACGTAATCCCATCCAAGTGGTCTCAACCACCGACTGTCCCAATCTATAAGAAAGGACAAAAGTCTTCTTGTAACAATCACAGGGGAATAAGTCTAACTAATATAGTTTCTGAATTGTTAGCCTCGATTATACTTAGACGCCTAACTAGTGCTCATGGGGAGCAGGCTCGAGAAAACCAGGCTGGTTTCAGACCTGGTCGCGGATGTATAGACCACATCTTCACAGTGCGACAGGTTTGTGGACACAGACACACATCTAGGCGCCCTACAGTAGTTGTCATTCTGGACCTTAAGGCGGCATTCGACTCCGTCGATCGTGATGTTCTGTAGTAGTGTCTGTCATTGAACGGTGTACCAAAGAAGTACATTAACCTTATACAAGCTTTCTACTCGAACACTACCGGTCAAGTTAGATCTTATAGCGAACTGTCATCGGAATTCTTTACTTCAAGTAATGTCCGTCAGGAATGTCTACTTTCTCCATTCTTGTTTAATTTCGTCATAGACGTACTCCTAGATTTAATAATATCTTCGTCTGAATTTTCAGGAGTGCACCTTCCACCAGGAAAATTGCTTGCTCACTTAGCGTTTGCTGATGACATAGTCCTATTCGATGAAGACGCTGACAAAATGCAGAGTCTTCTGACTACCATAAGCAACAATGCAAGCATGTTCGGGATGCGGTTCTCATCCTTGAAATGCAAAATGTTGCTTCAAGATTAGCTTGCGACTTCATCGGAACTAGTGATAGTGAGTGAAGTAGTCGAACATGTAAACCGCTTCACATATCTGAGGACTCTCATCAGTGCTGATGGCCTGATGACTGACGAAATCTCAGCACGGATACAGAAGGCTCGATTAGCTTTTGCTAACTTACATCAGCAATGGCGCAGGCGAGATATCCGTTTGCTAACCAAAGGACGAGTGTACCGTGCAGCAGTTTGCTCCGTCCTACTATATGTCTGTAAAAATTGGCCGTTAAGAGTAGAGGACTTTCGTAGGTTACTGGTCTTCCATAATTGGTGTCTTCGAAGCATTGCTCGTGTATCTTGGGACAACCGTATAAGCAATGCTGTCGTTAGGAAACGAGTACTAGGTAAGGATGACAAATCAATAATTGAAGCATTGAAACTTCATCAGTAGAGGTAATTGGGACATGTGTTACGTATGGCTAACCAGCGACTGCCTCGAAGAGCTATGTTTTGTGGTGTAGGAGTAGGTTGGACGAAGGCTTGGGGCGGCCAAACCAAAACGTGGCAGAAATACAAGAAGTCACTTACAAATGGACTGAGTCATGTTGGTAGATGTAAGCTACGTGGTTGGGGTCCGCGAGATGATAGTCACCGATAGTTAGAGACCTTGAATGACATGGGGCAATGGCGCAAGTGCAGCCACTTTCTGTGTTCTATGAAATTCTAAGCTTCTGCATTCCTCATAATCAGTCAGTCAGTCAGTCATCATCATCATCAATGATGACTATTTTATATTGCAAAAGAATAATGTACTAGTGTTTGTTGGTTTAGTCAACGAATCACAAGATGATGAAACACGAGCAATGATAACAAAAATTTGACATACTGAGTGCAATCTTTGAAAAAAGGCTAACATTTTGAAAATGAATTTTGACACTGAAGCATACCTAGTAGAACTAATAGATTCACAAAAATTATGAATTGACTCATTTAAGAGTAACATTGAAAACGTGGATACACTGGAATCATGTAATGCTTTAATATGAGACTCTTCGCAAGTGTTCATTCACCGACCTGCACACAGGAATCTAACTAAGGATCTTCGGCCTCACAAGCGAATGCCTGTACTACGGACTTAGTTAATGTTTGATTCAAATCGATCCACGAAATATCGTAGCTATCTACCATTTTTTTCGATTCCTAATTGCTTGACATCCAAGACATTTGAATTTGACTGACCATGGATTCTCGCTAAAATACTGTAAGCTAGTCACTAGTAAGTACATGACAATTATCGGCATAAGGTTGTAGAATTTCATTGAAATCACAATGCGTGCAATGTTAAGTCGACATTGAAAATCTGGAGTTAATAAGTGTCGGAATTTTCGGAATGCATTGTCTATTTCAGAATATATTACAATTTCAGAAGAATGGATAAAGAATGCTTATCGAAAAATACAAACTTTGAAATCGACAGAAATTTTTTTACAAGTATGCAAATAGTGTCGTGATATACACGATTCACTCGCTGAGGGACAGTATTCTATAAAAAAATCTAACTACTAGTAAGTAGTTTGATATTTTTGAGCAAATATTTTACGGTGACGATGATCGTTTCACTTAGACCACTGACTTTTTCTAAACATTAACTATATTTAATTATGCTATAGACATAGAATTCTAGACTTTATGATATATATTTTGTTTGAAATATGAAAAAAAGAACTTATGGGCATATAAGTTTTAAAAATCGTATATTATCTTCGTGCCTAACTTTCATTATATTTTCCAGCGTAATTTACTCGTGTACCTCATTGTTTCATTGCGAGATTTCTTTATTTAGCATTAAAAGAAACAGTGATATTTTTATGTATGATCACTTTAGTGGGAATTAATAGGTAATCCATACCAGGACAAAACGGCCGTGTAGTGCTTCAATATTTCTAATTATGATCTAACATTGTCCGATTAATGATTTCAAAGAAATTACTTGTGGTTAAAAAAACAATTTGTAACGAAAACAGGATAGCAATTGAACGCGTTTATTTTAAATGCTTCGAATACGATGTCAAAAGATAGATGATATGCCGCTTAATGAGCCTAATACTATTAATTTAATGAAATACATAAATTTTATTGAGTGTAGAGTGTTTCGTTTATCGATCACTTATATTATAATTTAAATTAGGTAAACGAACTTCGTATCTCTATAGCGATTGAAGTAGAGATACATAGTTGGCTTAGACAATCTAATAATATATCTGTTTTACCTAAGTAAATTCATGATAAGTTTTTTTTATTGCACAGTTCATGAATTTAATGAAAGTAAAATTTAAGTGATATGCAGAACTATACTAGATCATGGACTATTATAGAACTAACTAGTTCTTCTTTGTTTATTACTATTTATCAATGAATGGACATTGTTTACTTCATTTAAGATGAAATGGAAAGTTGTTAGTTTTCACTGTGAGAATGTTAACTTTAAATTGATGAATTAAAATTCAATCATTGGATTTTTTTAATTTTATTCAATCTGTGAAATTAGTATAATCATTATCTAGCAAGATTACTAATAATCGTCTGAGTTAATAAATAACTAGATTTGCCTTCATCTCACTCACAACTTTTGTTTAGAATTTCAGATAACTTTTTCAATCTTAATTATTTGTAAGCAAATGAAAATTGTACAATTGAATGAATGAACAGAGCAAGTGAATTTTATTCGATTGGAAAAAAAATTCTGTGTTTGATTATTTTTCTTTAAATTTCATTGTCAAATTCATCTAGTTACACTGTGAAAATGACCTAAAAAAACAATATTCGAAGCTATATGAGCTTAGAATTTCTAACCAATGAATTATGAATGAGGTTCGAAACTGACAAAAAAATAGTCGTCACTTGGTTTATATTTTACAAGCCTTCGATACATTGTAGAGGTTAGGTAACTTTGCAAATCAAAGCTACAGATAAGATCAATAAGGATCATATAAGTCGGTAGTCATGAAAAAAAAGATCATTATTTTTATACACAGTATTTTGAATATTGATTGGATAAGTTAAGTAATGAAATAACTTATTAGTTAACAACTGAAACTACGATTCATTCTAACACACGTGCAAACAATAGACACACTAGTGTAATATAAACTTTGATATACTCCACATAGAAAATTCTTATAAATTTACATCAATACACCTGTTGTTCATAGAATATTATTTCATCATTCAAATGAATGTGTGTACAGACTATTTTCAAAAACCGTCACAACTGATATCCAAGTGTTCAAGTGTGATCAATGTTTTCTTTCTGTTTTTTTAATCAATAGAATCATAAAAACTAATTAAATTGAAAATCATTGCATCAGAATAAATTCATCGGAAATTTACAAAGAACCAATTCAACGAAACAATTCATCAGAAATCATCACTAAACATATTTCATATTATTTAAAAAGTATATATATAATAAAACAAACTTATCAATAAAATATTTCTAAATGACAGTGATATAATGAAACAATAGATTTATTGTTTACACTAAATAACACAATAATATTTTACATACTAGATGGGGAATATATATATATAAGATAATTAACAGAACATAACTAAACTGTTGGTTATCCTGGTCAAATATACAATTTATGATAGGCAATTAAATAATAGAGTATATAGAAACATAGTAATCTATTTATACAAGATATAAACAGTCTGAACAAAATTAATTCAGTTTAGAAATCATATTCATATTATGAAGATCATAGCTTATTAATTATTACGGATTATCGAGTACTTGCTCAGTAACAAATCATAAATTCAACCCCAAATCCTATAACAAACACATTAGACAGTATAGTAAATTGTTATTCATTCATAGTATGGAAATTACTAAATTAAACCATTAGAACAATTAAAACCCAGTATAATTTATGTATTAATTAACTTTATATTTTAGTCTATATTTTACAATAGACTTTTTACTGTGTATACAATTAATGAATATGACGTTTATTTACAAAACAATAACTAGTCTATTCAAGTGAAATGATAAGAAAACTATAATGATGATGAAATCAAATTGTTTAATTTGATCTATTGTCAACATGTGTACATGTGTACATTTGATGATTGTGTATTTTATCGTCTCATATTTCAGGGTAAATTTTATGCTAAAATTTCATCATGATGATGAGGAGGAGGAGGATTATTTACACAGACGAATAGTGAAAAATTTTCTTTCTATGAGAAGTAAATAAAACAAAATAATAATAATAATAATAAAAGAAAAAAAAAGATTCATTAGAAATTTATATAAAAGTCAGGATGAAAAATATTATTTAACAATTTGAAAACATAGACAAAGCTAATATACCATTCACAATCATGAACAATTGTATTTGGTCTATTACAATGTGTACAATTTTATTCGTTATGATGTATAACTTTGGCATAAGTAAGTAAATAATTTTTTGATCAAATATTAAATATAATAGTAATTATTCATTTTATTCAATGTAATTTTTAATGAAGTTGAATAAAAATCATATACTACTATTCACTGACATATTAAGCTATATGCACAATGATAATAATAATTGATAATAAACTTTTCATTAGAGATATTCAAAAAGTAGACCAGGTGTATAAGCTAACAACTGCATTCCTTAAAGAATGTGTGCTCAATTCTTTCTATTCCCATCGACTACTACTAAGATGTATCCCGATTAGATGAAATATATTCATATTTAGTGCTATCTAGTTTTCAATAGATTTGTAGATGATCTTAATTCACTAATTAAACTAATTTTAACGTGTCATATCGTTCGTTACAAAACTCCATGCCAGGTAATCACTAGTTCATTCATATATTGTGATATTAGTGTTCATGATGACAATCACATTCTACAATTCAATTATCGTTAAATTTAAGTATACATGTAATATTCTTATATTTTCCAATTTGAACTTATCAAATTTACTTGTTGAATAAATCTCTACAAGATTAAAATGTCATTTTCATGATAAAAATACTTTATTGTTATTCTTTTTACTCAATATTTTAATCAGTCTAAACAAATCATCATCATCAGCATCAAGGTGTTCTTTTTGATCCAGTAGCGTATAATGAATTCTTATGTTGAGTTATTTCGATAAAATTAATAACAAAACATAACAAAACTAATGTCAATAGGATTTTGTGATTAGTGAACACAAACAAATAAACACAGTGTTATATCATATCAGATTAGTTTTATACATGATTCCATTTCATTGAATCTACATTGAAAGTGCAAAAAATAAATTGCAATTTCATTAATGCAAATCGATTTAAAATTTACAAGAAGAAAAATTTAGTGTTTTTTATATATATATATTAATGATAATAAGAAATGTTCAAACATAACAATCATCCTATTCAATCTTTTATTATTATTTTAGTGAATGCTAATCCAGCAAATAAGTTAGTTGAAAACTATACATTAAAATTGTCATTTACAAACCTCAAATTGATATGATACAGTTTATAAGTAAATAAGTAGTATGAAATTTTACACTCAAAAAAGAATAGACACTTTGTGCATTATTAATGATTCAGATAATTCCATAACATTCAGCTAATTTGATTATAACATTGAAATGATTTTTAAACTACAAATGTAAAATCATTAATAGAAAAAATCAAAAGTGTAAAACAAATGAAAAAATTGTTGAGTTTTACTCTCCTATTTAAGTTTCACGTATAAATTTTCACATAGAACAATGATTAGATTAGCAATAAATTTTATAGAGATGATCAAATAAAGTCTCTATTAAAAGAAAAAACAAAACAAAACAGATTAACATGAATTATTGTTCTATTGTTCATTATTATTGTAATAGATAATTTAAAAATTGTTTGAATGTAACATAAATGGAATTGTGCATTTTTCACAACACCATCGACTGACTGAATTAGCATTGATATGTGAAATGTTGAAAATCAAAGGAAAGTTTAAAAATTCAATCAAACTAACCATCAAATTACATAAGTTTAAGTTAAAAAAATAAAGATCAACATAATTAGTTCTACTTAAAACTGACAATAATTAAAAAATATTAACTATTGAGTGAACATACTGATGATGGAATTGAATCATTTAACCCCGGTAATCGTTCTATCAAAGATGATTAACAACGTTGTTCCCTACGACAAGAATATATATATGCTTTATAGATTATTTTCTGTGCATAATATCACTCAGATTGCACATTATCTAATAATCTAAGTGCTTGACTGTGAAGACATGTTGTCAAATAAAATTATTCTCAGTAGTTATTTCGTAAGAAACATTTAGCTAACAAACTTTTATATTCCACATTCTCTTAATGTGTATTAAAATAAGATTCTACTATTTCATGAAAACCTACTGTGAATTTACACTTCAGATAAGTAAAGAGAATGATTTGGCTTCTCCAAATTTATGTTCAGAGCTTTCATTTCAGAAGTGCTTGTAAAAGACTCAATGAAAAAAAATAGAATACTGAGATAATTATGCGAGATTAAACAATTTCAAGTGATACAATTTATCAACATTTACAAAATATCGCTGTCATTTATAAATAATGTACTATAGTTCAGTTACAAATATCAATTAGATTTACTCTGTTAATACTAACGATAGTCCTAAAACCGTGACAACTGCACCGTAAGTTTTTTATTTGAATTTATTTTAATATCATATTTGATGTGTTCTTGTTGGGTATCTTGAAATCTCCTCTTTCAAATTCACTATATATTCCATCAACTGTCTTAGATCTGGTTGTGATTGAATAGAGAAAAATACAATCATGAATAATATGACTATTCAGACATCACTAGCTTGAACAAAAATGACGAAGGTTTGTAGAGGGAATAAATTTATTTTCCAAATAACCTTAGGTTAATCTCGAACGTTACAATATATATATTCGCTAGATAGTTAAGCTCATGCATGATAAACGTTCATTTTAGTGATTATCTGATTACTCCTCATTCAGCAACACGATAATCACTTATAGTCAACAACAAAATCTAGACTAGCCAACCGTCAATAGAGAATAATTTCAAACGTCCAAGGTTGTCAATGATATCAACATGAAAAAATATCAACAGAACATAATATAACGTATCACGTATATACTGAGTGTTGTACTATTACACTGTGGCCACTTAGAATTTAAAAATATAGGATAATGTTAAAAAAATATTTTCAATCAATTAATTTCAGGTTCTACAATTATATATCATAAAAAGTGACCACATTCAAAATGAAATACACATCGAAAAATATTTTTATAAACTGTCATTAGTTACATACATATTATCAAAGAGTGATAGTAAAATTATTCATTGAACTTGAAAGTGAGAATGAATTAATTCACTAGACATTAGTCAACAATATTTGACGATTGTACAATCATTCATATATTGCAATCTATGTATCGTATAATAAATTTGAATATTGTTAACACGGAATACTCAATCAATTCAAACAAAATCGTTCGTTTGAATACATGCTAATTGAACATCCTAATAAAATTGATTTTAACCACAAACACACAAAAGTCTGTCGGCTTTTCTATCAGGCTAACAAGGTTTTCCTCTTATGACGAATGCCAGTGATAATTGAATAATCGAAAATCATTTTATTTTAGTTTAAATCTTGCTAATTCTAATTCTAATCACTGTAAAACTAACTCATTGATTAAATTCGACCAAATCGATGAAACACAAAATTTCGTTTAGAAATAATTAACAAAATCAATTATGCTATTAGTGAACCATGTTAAGATTTGAAGAAAACAGATGGATTATGAAAAAATGTATTTGTTAACTCTTGAAAAGGGATCAGTTTTATAAAATAATATCTATAATAATCTGCTAAAACAATTATAATGAACTGCAGTAACTCAATGAAAGACCAGGCTCATAGACGAGTCCCCTGTTTGGATTTACATGCATTTGTTACAGTATCAATTCAACAGAGCTAAGTAAATTAACAATGAGAAAATGAAAAAGAAATATTTATATTGTCAGCGACGTAATCATACACGGTTTATGCAACGAGCAGGAATAAACTCACGTTTTAACGTTTTTATTGCTTTCATATGTGGAAATTCATTAATGTGAAAGTGGATTAGGATAAGTGAAGAATAGTTGAAAAATATCGAAACTCTCTTGATATAAATGCGTAAAAGCTTCAAAAGAGATGATATGACAAGAAACAAGTGGGACCACCTGTCATGTCTCAAATATGCTAGTTCATAAATGATTGATAAAATTCACACACTACAACCATATAAGTTTTTTTGAAATCATAAAATGATCAGTGTAAGATCATCATCGACAACATCGAAAAACTAGACAGGTGTATCGTCCTAGTTTGTAACTCGTGAAATGTACTCACCGTGACTCCTAAACGAGCAGTCGAACTCTGGGTCTTCCATAGTGAACACGTGAACCCCGACCAATGGATCTCTGAGACAAAACCCAAAGAAGTTTGACTTATTATCTTAACAAAATCAGACGTTAGCGATTTAATTCCAAGGAACAGTGAATCTTTCGTAGTTCAGATGTGATTAATAAAATAGTTTCATTCATCATGTCATTTAAATACCGATTCCTAATCATCATGTCTATGATGTTTATCACTTTGACAGTGTCAAGTCTGCACAAGCTGATCCATAGGTTTTTGAAACATTTTTAGAGGTTCATTGTTGTTTTAATCACGATACTTGTATACAAACGTCTAATGATTTGTTTGATGTTACTACTCTTGACAGTCATAAAGCTCCAGCACCCACTGTGTAAGTTGTTTGATGACGAGCATCTTGATATTCATCATGATGTATATGATTTTTTTGGTGGTTTCGGTATCATTCTCTTCAGAAACCCGACAATGTGAAAGTTTTCCATTTACAGATTTTTTCAGTGATTTTTTAGACCTTGCAATCTTTTCTTGCTGTTGCTAAACTCTTTAATATGCTAATCTATGACTGTACATCTGGCGCCGTTAACTTGAGCCTTCGATCTCGTCTCTGGCTACCTATCCTACATACTGCCGAGGAGTTCTTCACTAGTACAAGTTTACTGCTCAGTAATCTCATGTTTAGAATGATAAACTAGTTTCGATCGGTATGTGACTTATACACTTGGAAGATTAATTCCTTGTCAGGCTTACACATCAGTAAATTGACTTTATAATTATCTGTATGAATTTCCCATATTTACCTCTGTTTTTATTTGGAATAGCACTTAATTGGGATTGTATTTCTGATTTGACTGATTCCAAGTTTGATCAGCACTATTAAACTTAAGTCAACAGTTAAGCTTCTCTTGATTCATGATTCTCTAGTATCTCTATCTCCTACAATTGAGTTCAGATGTCAAAACCAACCTCTACTATATTTATATTTCAAACAATCGTGATTTATGTAAAACGCGACCAGACTGCATCATATCATAAAATACAAAATATTGTTTATACGTAAACGTAAACAAGCCAAGAGTGATTGGGAATAGGGGAGACTGAGAATAATAGACTAGGAATAATTTAGAAATAATCAATGATGTAACAATAGTCAAATGAAAGCTTATAATACAAAGGATACGTATTTACATATTAATATGGTAACTTATTAGCTACACAATAAGAAAATGTATGTTGGGTCTAGTCGGTCTGATGTGTATATAATACAGCAGACACGTACCTGGAGTAAATGTGCCGCTGCTACACCCAGTCCATTGCACTCCAGCTTAGTCCGAATGGGGAAAACGAATCACCCTGATACCTGCTGGCACTGTGGTTCACGGCACTATGTTCGAAACCGTTCTTTTATGTAGCATCGATGTATGAAGTGTAAGGTCGTTGGTCATGAAGATGGTTTTTTTCTAAAGGGGAAGCTGAACCGATTCATAAGTACCAAAATGACTGTTCCTAGATCCTGTACCAATTCGTTCAGCGTAATATCTTCTTGTCAAAGCTCATCACCATGTGAGAGAAAATTCATTGCTCTTAATGTCTACGGGCATTTGTGTAGATTGCAAATAGATACCGCATCCGATGTCACTATCCTCTCGCGTAAAATTTGTACCGAAATGGGCAGCTCAAGCCTGCAGCAGACAACACAAAAGCCTCGTACAGCATGTGGTAATTACCTTCTTCTGTTAGGACAATTGGAATGTAAAGTTACCTTCCGAGATTCGTTTTTTACTGGAGCATGTTATATAACGCCAGCTGATCTAAATTTACTTGGTTTAGATTGGTTCGACCAGCTAAAATTGGCTGATGTCCCATTCAATACCATATACCACCAGGTATCATGACCACACGACCCCGAAGCATATACGAGGAATCTAATGACGCAGTTTTCAACCATCTTCCATGAAAGCAACACTTCGGTTGAAACCTGGGGCTAAGCCTGTTTTTCCTCCAAAGTGACGCGTGCCTTATGCATCACTAGTAACAGTGGACGAAGAACTGAATCGCCTCCAACAACAAGGAGTTATTACGCCCGTTTCTTACTCTACTTGGGCAGCATCTATAGTTGTTATCAAGAATGCCAACAGGACTATGTATATATGTGCTGACTTTTCTACAGGTCTCAATGCAGCTCTGAAACAGCATCATTATCCTCTCTTAGTTCCCACAGATCTGTTCACCATACTGAATGGGGGAAAGATTTTCGCAAAGCTTGATCTAGCTGGTGCTTGTTTGCAAGTGGAAATAGATGAAGCATCAAGAGAGCTGCTTACTATCAATACTCATCGTGGTTTGTTCCAGTAAAATCATTTGAATTTTGGAGTCAAAACCGTCCCATCTATCTTCCAGCAACTAATGGATACCATCTTATCAGGTATCTCGGGGATTGTGGCTTATCTCGATGACATTTTAATTGTTGCGACGACATTAAAACAGCAACAGGAACGCACGACATTGGTACTACAACGCATCAGTGACAACGGTTTCCGGTTACGCCCAGAGAAATGCTAGTTTTTATTGCACTCGGTAAAGTTTTTGGGATCCATCTTTGATACCGACGGCCGCAGACCGGATCCTGAGAACATCCGAGCTATCAAACTGATGCCCACTCCCTCTAATGTCTCGGCACTATGCTTCTTCGTGGGACTTGTCAGCTATTATTCGGCATTCGTTCAATCGATGGATGATATTCGCGCTCTGTTGGATTGTCTACTGCAGAAGCATAGCACATGGAACTGGACTAAAGAGTGTGACGCGGCGTTTTGTAAACTCATGTTCATAATTAGCTCGGAATTGTTATCAACACACTACGATCCATCCATGCCAATCATCGTAGCAGCAGACGCTTCAGCATATGGCCTAGGTGCTGTTGACTCACATCAGTTTCCAGATGCGTCGGAAAAAGCCGTTATGCATGCATCCCGTCCACTAGCCCCAGCAGAAAAGAAGTACAGCCAGATAAAAGAGGCTCTTGCCTTTGTGTTTGCTGTTCGTCGTTTCCACAAGTTTCTGTGCGGTCGAAATATCACGCTCCTTACAGATCACAAGCCTCTGCTAGCAATATTCGGTTCAAAGCCTGGCATTCCAGTCCATTCTGCAAGTCGTCTTCCGCGATGGGCCTTGGTGCTTTTGAGGTATGATTTCGAAACCCACTATCGACTCACTCATGAATTCGGTCAAGCAGACGCTTTGTCACGACTTATTATTGATCAGTAGGCGGCTGAGGAAAAAATGGCGATCGCATCTCTGTCAGTAGAAGACCCCATCATCAAGATGACGATGAAATATTTCAGTAACGGTTGGCCCTCGAAGAAGTTTGAGGGTGACATGAACAACTGTTTCAGCGGCGAGATTCACTATGCATCGTGAACGACTGTTTGATGTTTGCAGAAAGAGTGGTTGTGCCAGAATCCCTTCATGCAAAAGTGCTGAGACAGTTCAACCTTGGTCATCCGGGCGTTAGACGAATGAAATATATACCCAAGAGTTATGCATACTGGCCTCTAATGGACCAGTATACCACAGAGTCGGTTGAAAAATGCATGCAGTGTCAGCAAGCGGCAAAGGTGAATGCCAAAGTTCCGCCAGTTTCATGGCCAAAACCTGATCATCCTTGGTCCATGATAAACGTCGACTTCGCGAGCCAAATTAACGGAACTGGTTTTGGTCGACGTCCGTTCAAAATGGCCAGAAATCAGTGCTGTAAAGCCTCCCATGACAATACAGCTCCTAAATGAGATTTTCTCGCGAAATGGCATACCACATGTGGTCCTATCTGACAATGGGTCTTATTTTACCTCAACTCAATTCCAAACTTTCTGCCAACGGCTAGCCATCAAACAATTACGCCCGCCACCATACCACACGCAATTTAAATGGGCAAGCGGAAAGGTTTGTGGATACGTTTATAAGAGTATTAAGTTAAGTCAAAATGGGAGGGGACACAAGCGGATGCGTTACAAAATTGATTGTACGTCTATCACACAACACCAAATCATTTGTCACTGGAGCAAAAGTCCCCAGCAGAAATCCTGATGGTAAGAAGACTGAAAACGATCCACAGCCGACTAATGCACCAACATCAGTAGAGACAAAATCGTAAAGGCAATCCTATTAGGAAGTGGGATGTCCTGGGTTTGCCCCTGACTACAGAACAAACCATGGTATTTGGGTAGAAGCGAGAGTGGTTAGAAGAGTTGGGCGAGTTATGTTCGAAGTAAAGGTATGAGGCGAAAGGTGGTCACGTCATCGAAACCAGATACGCAAACGGCTAGCCCAAGATCGTCCATCAAGAAGAGCAAATCTTTCCCTTGACACCCTGCAAGATAGCTTCAACTTACAGGCAGCCTCACCACAAGAAGAAAGTCAACAACAAGTTGATCTACGTTCCACGAGGTGTCCTCTCAGACAGCGGCGAACAACAGTCAAGATGCGATTCGATCACAGGAACTCACGCTATTAACAATGCAAGGGGGAGTGTTAGGGACGTTAGATCCTCAGAAATCGCTAAATAAAGGTCCTAATTTTAGATTTTATTCATGAGCTGAGCCGCTAACCTTGATATTACGTTTCCCACCGGGAAAGTTCTGTGATTGGTTGATGTGCTATTTTAGTACGCTCTCTCAAGGACATTGCTATAATGTATAAATGAACTCGAGTTGTGTGCTTGAGATCATCGTATTTTCCAGGAGCTATTACAAAACGCTTTCTACGCCATGTCAAGACTCCTTTAGTTAGACGAAGCAACGGACTAGAGTAGCATATCGTGTCACTCTCATTATCGACTAACGTGAACTCACAATAGTTTCAAGCAAAGCAACTGACGAGCATAACAATTAGTTTTTTTGAAATCATAAAATGATCAGTGTAAGATCATCATCGACAACATCGAAAAACTAGACAGGTGTATCGTCCTAGTTTGTAACTCGTGAAATGTACTCACCGTGACTCCTAAACGAGCAGTCGAACTCTGGGTCTTCCATAGTGAACACGTGAACCCCGACCAATGGATCTCTGAGACAAAACCCAAAGAAGTTTGACTTATTATCTTAACAAAATCAGACGTTAGCGATTTAATTCCAAGGAACAGTGAATCTTTCGTAGTTCAGATGTGATTAATAAAATAGTTTCATTCATCATGTCATTTAAATACCGATTCCTAATCATCATGTCTATGATGTTTATCACTTTGACAGTGCCAAACCTGCACAAGCTGCTCCGTAGGTTTTTGAAACATTTTTAGAGGTTCATTGTTGTTTCAATCACGATACTTGTATACCAATGTCTAATGATTTCTTTGATGTTACTAATCTCGACAGCACCAATGCTCCAGCAACCACTGTGTAAGTTGTTTGATGACGATCATCTTGGTCGTGTGTGTGTTTTAGATTTCTTCTATTCAATCAAGCATAATTTTCAGTGCCTTTGCCTTTAATGTGCATCCTACTGGATTATGGTTACTTGAATTGTTGAGAGAGCAGACATTATTTTATGTGCTCTCATTAGTTTTAAACATTTTTTTCAGTGATTGTGTAATTAATCATTGAAGTGAATTGTTCGACTGAGTTATCCTACTGACAGATAAGATATATATATCTGTTGTTAAGTATTACGGTAATTTCGTCTTAGCTCCAATAGTTTGACGAATAATATTTTGACAATGGTGTCACAAATCCGAAGACGATTCAGCAGGCTGCATGCTAAATCATGAGTGGCTTCGGAATCATTCACATTAGATGCCTGAAAGTGTGAAATATTTCCAATAACAGAACTTTTCTCTAGTTTTCAGAAGCAGTCAGAATTCTTCTTCATTCTGTTTCATTACTAAATGACCAGTTATTGACAAGTCTCTTAGAAGAAACACCCAGTAGTATTTCAGTTTATGTTAATTTTGAGACACTAAGTGGACTACCGCTGTAATTCTGAGTATTACTGTGAGTAACCCAGTTCAGTTTTCTTTCGAGTTTGTCACTTGATTCGCGTTCCTCTCAAATTTTGGCAGTGAGTTTCCTGTGACCGCTTGCTGATCGATGCTCTTAGATATAATTCTAACTATTGGTTATCCCAAACTACCTAGCATCTTTTAATGACTAGTAAACTCCTCCTGGAGCAATTCTAGGGTTGCTGACAGTCCCAATCCAGTATAACTGAGGAGGTACATGGAATTTTCGTACTTTTTGAGAGACTGAGGGAGAGATAGAACTCGGTGGTGCTTGGAATAAATGAAACAAACTGGACGCAGTTCAGAGAGGTGCTGCTATAATCCAGCATCGAAGAAAATGCCCCACGTACACAAGAGGTTGCACAGATGCTGCTTAAAGAGGCACGTAACCTTGTAGGGTAAGAATCTCACGGAAACAGGATCATCAAAGCATCCTTCACGAAAAATAGAGGAAATACAATGAATGTGAATAAAAATGAAAACGATAGTGATTAACCCAATAGGAGCTCCATCACACGGAATGGATCTCTGTTGACAATCTGGATGAGATTCAAGAAAGGAAGAATAGGAAGACAGCAGTCAATATCACCCGAACAAGAGCATAGAAAGCCAATGCACAAGCTGAAATATGTGGAAAATCTAGAAATGACAGCGGAAATGGCTGCAACAGAACGAAACATAAAACAATTGTATGATACAACAAAAAAGCTCTTTTGAAATTATCGTAAACAAGAACGACCAATGACAGGCAAGGAAGGCAAAGCAATCGCCAGTTTTAAAGGACAACGGAACAAGTGGGTAGAGCACTGTACATAACATAACTGCAAAGGTGTTTCACTCTCTGTTCAGTGAGATTTGGAAGAACAAGTACCAACAGACTGGAAAAAGACACATAATCAAGATTCCAAAGAAATGAGATCTCCGCAAGTGTGAGAACCGCAGAGGCATTATTCTTCTCTCAATACCAGGAAACGTCTTCAACAGTGTTTCTTAACAGAATGAAAGATTCAGTATACGCCCAACTTCAAAATCAGCAGGCTGAATTCCGCAGAGATCGATCGTATGCCGACTGAACCGTGACACTACAGTTTATTGTGGAACAGTCAGTTTAATGGAATCCTCCACTGTACATCAACTTCATTGACCGCGAAAAAGCGTGGATAGCGTGGACAGGATGACTTTATGGAGGCTTCTAAAATACTATAGTGTAATTGAGAGGATGGTCAATATCATACAGAATTCTTTTTTATGACAGCATTGCAGTTACTACCACATGCGATCACGTTTGTTAGAACTTTTAAGGACTAAAGGCGTTAAATTTATGCAAAATTCATTCTTCCATCATTCTCAATCACAGTGCTACATGCCACTTAATGCTGGATATCAACAACCCGGAGTGATTGTGCTGTCATGTAAAAGATTCGTAAAAGGCAATATAGAAAAATTGACAATCGAAATAGATGAACCAAATATCAATTTACAATTAAACCAATTGGTCCAAAAGTTAAAACTACTGAAAAAAATCAACACGCCTTTTAAAAACACGTAGACTGATAACAGAAGTTTTGTTACCTTATATACAATCAAAATTTTAAAAAATTTATCAACATTTACAAAATATCGCTGTCATTTATAAATAATGTACTATAGTTCAGTTACAAATATCAATTAGATTTACTCTGTTAATACTAACGATAGTCCTAAAACCGTGACAACTGCACCGTAAGTTTTTTATTTGAATTTATTTTAATATCATATTTGATGTGTTCTTGTTGGGTATCTTGAAATCTCCTCTTTCAAATTCACTATATATTCCATCAACTGTCTTAGATCTGGTTGTGATTGAATAGAGAAAAATACAATCATGAATAATATGACTATTCAGACATCACTAGCTTGAACAAAAATGACGAAGGTTTGTAGAGGGAATAAATTTATTTTCCAAATAACCTTAGGTTAATCTCGAACGTTACAATATATATATTCGCTAGATAGTTAAGCTCATGCATGATAAACGTTCATTTTAGTGATTATCTGATTACTCCTCATTCAGCAACACGATAATCACTTATAGTCAACAACAAAATCTAGACTAGCCAACCGTCAATAGAGAATAATTTCAAACGTCCAAGGTTGTCAATGATATCAACATGAAAAAATATCAACAGAACATAATATAACGTATCACGTATATACTGAGTGTTGTACTATTACACTGTGGCCACTTAGAATTTAAAAATATAGGATAATGTTAAAAAAATATTTTCAATCAATTAATTTCAGGTTCTACAATTATATATCATAAAAAGTGACCACATTCAAAATGAAATACACATCGAAAAATATTTTTATAAACTGTCATTAGTTACATACATATTATCAAAGAGTGATAGTAAAATTATTCATTGAACTTGAAAGTGAGAATGAATTAATTCACTAGACATTAGTCAACAATATTTGACGATTGTACAATCATTCATATATTGCAATCTATGTATCGTATAATAAATTTGAATATTGTTAACACGGAATACTCAATCAATTCAAACAAAATCGTTCGTTTGAATACATGCTAATTGAACATCCTAATAAAATTGATTTTAACCACAAACACACAAAAGTCTGTCGGCTTTTCTATCAGGCTAACAAGGTTTTCCTCTTATGACGAATGCCAGTGATAATTGAATAATCGAAAATCATTTTATTTTAGTTTAAATCTTGCTAATTCTAATTCTAATCACTGTAAAACTAACTCATTGATTAAATTCGACCAAATCGATGAAACACAAAATTTCGTTTAGAAATAATTAACAAAATCAATTATGCTATTAGTGAACCATGTTAAGATTTGAAGAAAACAGATGGATTATGAAAAAATGTATTTGTTAACTCTTGAAAAGGGATCAGTTTTATAAAATAATATCTATAATAATCTGCTAAAACAATTATAATGAACTGCAGTAACTCAATGAAAGACCAGGCTCATAGACGAGTCCCCTGTTTGGATTTACATGCATTTGTTACAGTATCAATTCAACAGAGCTAAGTAAATTAACAATGAGAAAATGAAAAAGAAATATTTATATTGTCAGCGACGTAATCATACACGGTTTATGCAACGAGCAGGAATAAACTCACGTTTTAACGTTTTTATTGCTTTCATATGTGGAAATTCATTAATGTGAAAGTGGATTAGGATAAGTGAAGAATAGTTGAAAAATATCGAAACTCTCTTGATATAAATGCGTAAAAGCTTCAAAAGAGATGATATGACAAGAAACAAGTGGGACCACCTGTCATGTCTCAAATATGCTAGTTCATAAATGATTGATAAAATTCACACACTACAACCATATAAGTTTTTTTGAAATCATAAAATGATCAGTGTAAGATCATCATCGACAACATCGAAAAACTAGACAGGTGTATCGTCCTAGTTTGTAACTCGTGAAATGTACTCACCGTGACTCCTAAACGAGCAGTCGAACTCTGGGTCTTCCATAGTGAACACGTGAACCCCGACCAATGGATCTCTGAGACAAAACCCAAAGAAGTTTGACTTATTATCTTAACAAAATCAGACGTTAGCGATTTAATTCCAAGGAACAGTGAATCTTTCGTAGTTCAGATGTGATTAATAAAATAGTTTCATTCATCATGTCATTTAAATACCGATTCCTAATCATCATGTCTATGATGTTTATCACTTTGACAGTGTCAAGTCTGCACAAGCTGATCCATAGGTTTTTGAAACATTTTTAGAGGTTCATTGTTGTTTTAATCACGATACTTGTATACAAACGTCTAATGATTTGTTTGATGTTACTACTCTTGACAGTCATAAAGCTCCAGCACCCACTGTGTAAGTTGTTTGATGACGATCATCTTGATATTCACTATGATGTATTTGATGCGTGCGATTTAGATTTCTTGTATTCATTCAAATCTGTTTTCAGTGCCTTTGCCTTTAATGTGCATCCTACTCTTTTATGGTTACTTGAAGTGTTGACAGAGCAGACATTATTTAATATGTTTGCCCGTGATTACAGAACGAACCATGGTATTTGGGTAGAAGCGAGAGTGGTTAGAAGAGTTGGGCGAGTTATGTTCGAAGTAAAGGTATGAGGCGAAAGGTGGTCACGTCATCGAAACCAGATACGCAAACGGCTAGCCCAAGATCGTCCATCAAGAAGAGCAAATCTTTCCCTTGACACCCTGCAAGATAGCTTCAACTTACAGGCAGCCTCACCACAAGAAGAAAGTCAACAACAAGTTGATCTACGTTCCACGAGGTGTCCTCTCAGACAGCGGCGAACAACAGTCAAGATGCGATTCGATCACAGGAACTCACGCTATTAACAATGCAAGGGGGAGTGTTAGGGACGTTAGATCCTCAGAAATCGCTAAATAAAGGTCCTAATTTTAGATTTTATTCATGAGCTGAGCCGCTAACCTTGATATTACGTTTCCCACCGGGAAAGTTCTGTGATTGGTTGATGTGCTATTTTAGTACGCTCTCTCAAGGACATTGCTATAATGTATAAATGAACTCGAGTTGTGTGCTTGAGATCATCGTATTTTCCAGGAGCTATTACAAAACACTTTCTACGCCATATCGAGACTCCTTCAGTTAGACGAAGCAACGGACTAGAGTAGCCTATTGTGCCACTCTCATTATCGACTAACGTGAACTCATAATAGTTTCAAGCAAAGCAACTGACGAGCATAACAATTAGTTTTTTTGAAATCATAAAATGATCAGTGTAAGATCATCATCGACAACATCGAAAAACTAGACAGGTGTATCGTCCTAGTTTGTAACTCGTGAAATGTACTCACCGTGACTCCTAAACGAGCAGTCGAACTCTGGGTCTTCCATAGTGAACACGTGAACCCCGACCAATGGATCTCTGAGACAAAACCCAAAGAAGTTTGACTTATTATCTTAACAAAATCAGACGTTAGCGATTTAATTCCAAGGAACAGTGAATCTTTCGTAGTTCAGATGTGATTAATAAAATAGTTTCATTCATCATGTCATTTAAATACCGATTCCTAATCATCATGTCTATGATGTTTATCACTTTGACAGTGCCAAACCTGCACAAGCTGCTCCGTAGGTTTTTGAAACATTTTTAGAGGTTCATTGTTGTTTCAATCACGATACTTGTATACCAAAGTCTAATGATTTCTTTGATGTTACTAATCTCGACAGCACCAATGCTCCAGCAACCACTGTGTAAGTTGTTTGATGACGATCATCTTGGTCGTGTGTGTGTTTTAGATTTCTTCTATTCAATCAAGCATAATTTTCAGTGCCTTTGCCTTTAATGTGCATCCTACTCTTTTATGGTTACTTGAATTGTTGACAGAGCAGACATTATTTTATGTGCTCTCATTAGTTTTGAACATTTTTTTCAGTGATTGTGTAATTAATCATTGAAGTGAATTGTTCGACTTCGTTATCTCACTGACCAATAAGATGTATATATCTGTTGTTAAGTATTACGGTAATTTCGTCTTAGCTCCAATAGTTTGACGAATAATATTTTGACAATGGTGTCACAAATCCGAAGACGATTCAGCAGGCTGCATGCTAAATCATGAGTGGCTTCGGAATCATTCACATTAGATGCCTGAAAGTGTGAAATATTTCCAATAACAGAACTTTTCTCTAGTTTTCAGAAGCAGTCAGAATTCTTCTTCATTCTGTTTCATTACTAAATGACCAGTTATTGACAAGTCTCTTAGAAGAAACACCCAGTAGTATTTCAGTTTATGTTAATTTTGAGACACTAAGTGGACTACCGCTGTAATTCTGAGTATTACTGTGAGTAACCCAGTTCAGTTTTCTTTCGAGTTTGTCACTTGATTCGCGTTCCTCTCAAATTTTGGCAGTGAGTTTCCTGTGACCGCTTGCTGATCGATGCTCTTAGATATAATTCTAACTATTGGTTATCCCAAACTACCTAGCATCTTTTAATGACTAGTAAACTCCTCCTGGAGGTTTTCGAAACATTTTTAGTGCTTCTTTTTTGTTTCAATCAAGTTAATTTGATACAAATATCTAATGATTTGTTTGATGTTACTTATCTCGACAGTAATAAATATCCGGCCCCCCCTACGTAAGTTGTTTGATGACGAGCATCTTGATATTCATCATGATGTATATGATTTTTTTGGTGGTTTCGGTATCATTCTCTTCAGAAACCCGACAATGTGAAAGTTTTCCATTTACAGATTTTTTCAGTGATTTTTTAGACCTTGCAATCTTTTCTTGCTGTTGCTAAACTCTTTAATATGCTAATCTATGACTGTACATCTGGCGCCGTTAACTTGAGCCTTCGATCTCGTCTCTGGCTACCTATCCTACATACTGCCGAGGAGTTCTTCACTAGTACAAGTTTACTGCTCAGTAATCTCATGTTTAGAATGATAAACTAGTTTCGATCGGTATGTGACTTATACACTTGGAAGATTAATTCCTTGTCAGGCTTACACATCAGTAAATTGACTTTATAATTATCTGTATGAATTTCCCATATTTACCTCTGTTTTTATTTGGAATAGCACTTAATTGGGATTGTATTTCTGATTTGACTGATTCCAAGTTTGATCAGCACTATTAAACTTAAGTCAACAGTTAAGCTTCTCTTGATTCATGATTCTCTAGTATCTCTATCTCCTACAATTGAGTTCAGATGTCAAAACCAACCTCTACTATATTTATATTTCAAACAATCGTGATTTATGTAAAACGCGACCAGACTGCATCATATCATAAAATACAAAATATTGTTTATACGTAAACGTAAACAAGCCAAGAGTGATTGGGAATAGGGGAGACTGAGAATAATAGACTAGGAATAATTTAGAAATAATCAATGATGTAACAATAGTCAAATGAAAGCTTATAATACAAAGGATACGTATTTACATATTAATATGGTAACTTATTAACTACACAATAAGAAAATATTTGTTTTGGGAGTTACCAATAGCCCGATTTTCACACTCATCTATCGTTTAATAATTTATATAAGATTAATTTAACACTGGTATCACAATATACTCGGTTATGCATATTTCATCATTGGAAGCACTGACCTTTTTTTTTCTATTTTATCTATAGCTTTATAGGAATTACTGAACCTTCGTAAGGCGTTCAACACTTTGATAAGGATTTTTAAACCTTGTCAAACATATCTCTTATATAGCATAAATTGGTTTTATTTCTTCATTTTTGTAGTAGTTTAATGAAGTTTATTAAAACGAAAAATGTGTTGTTTTAATTATAAGTGATTATGATTAATAGTTCGATAAGCAAATTCAGCTGACTCTATGAAATTTATAAAGTTTAAATTCCATATTTACAAAATGAACTTTGTTTGTTATTCATGTTGGCTCTATCAACTGATACTATTACATTATAATAATGTTCAGTTCCGTATTAATAATTTGATTTTTGAAATTACTACATTTTACAAATCACATGCTTATTGGATTCAATGGAGATGACTACTTTGATTATGTCTGTATAAAATCTATGATTTTTCATTGTATTTACACTATTAAAGTATTAAATCAGGGTTTTAATAGATTATCAGAATGATTAGTCATCATATTCTATGGTATATTCTAGCTCAAACATAATTTCAAAACTAACAGATCTTGTATGGACAGTTAAATATAATCAGTTCATAAATTAATGTAGCGAAAATGAAACATTTGCACTTCACACACATCATGATAGATAGACAACATTTTATTTTGAAATTATAATTTAATCCCGGATATGGTTGTTTATAAAAGCCCTGTTAAACCGTAAGCCAATAATATGATCTCATGAATGTTGTTTGAATTTTTTTTCTCAATGAATGGATATTACAATCGACATGGTTTTGATGCTTTCAAATAATTATCAAATTCTACTAGTGTATAATCCAACTGTAAACCAGTCAGTCAATATATTAAGTATCGTTCAGTCAATTTTCTGTTAAGTATTTCTAACTAATAGGTAAAGTTTATGTGTCTTCGTAGTTCAAACTGGTTGTTTGTTCTAATGATTTGATAAATAATTATTCACAGTGTGGTTCATTGAGAAACTTTTTCATCTCCAATTTCACAATAATATATCATCTGATTTAATGAATTTATTAATTGTTAGCAAGAACAATATTTTCAAATATACATATTATAATCATTATAGGAAAGTATGAACATTTTAATTTTAATTTAATTAATAAAATGTAGGATTCTACTCAGAATATGTAATACAATAATTTGTATGTTATTACTTTGAACAGTTCACCGACAGCTGCAAATTCAACGTAAGTTTTTCACAGTAAATTATCATCATGTTTGCATACATTTACTTGATTAGATTTATGGAATTTTTGCCAAAAAATGAATTATATCATTTGAAAACTTGCAGTTTTTTGTGATCACTACAGTTTTCCAGCGTAACCAAATCATTTATCATTGTGTTTATGTTAGGAGCATTCACATTTTCATTTGACTTATTTGCTTATGATTTTATGTCATAAGTTAGGCTCCATTGGTTGTACAATGTTGCTTATTGGGATCTGCTCCTTATATACTTGCATATTTTATGCAAGTAACGCTTTTTTTCGGTAAGTTAACCAATCTCAAGTCTACCAAACTGCTCCCAGTAGTGTGAAATCAAAGCTGTTGACTTGAAACCTGAAACTTCAAGTTCTGTCCTTGGCCAAGTTGTAAATAAACAATACCTCATACTATACAATGATTTTCAGTGTTTACTTAGAAGAAGTTAGACATGAACACACAAGTACACTGTTGATGACGGTCTAACATTGGTCAATTCATGACTTTAATGGTTTTATTTTAATTTTACTCCAGCCGTGTCTTAAAAACTACTACTGTGAAGTGAGTTATTAATTTGTAATTTGTTGATTCTGTTCATTATTAACCTTGGTATTTTATTAAATTGTCTTACTTTATTATTAATGTTAGATAACGAGATAATTACTATTTGAATATATATAATTTAATTATTTATTTATCGATTAGTGGTATTTTGTTTGATTTTAATTTTGATTTTGATTATTTTGAAGAGATAAGTGGTAACATTGAATAAAACGCCTGTTCTTGAGTTTCGTAGAATGTGATACGTCTTAACAACAAAATGAAAAGGGAACAGCTCTTTAAAAACTACCAATGAATATTGGTCTGCATCGAAAATAGACTGAAATTATAATTAATGACCATTGACTTCTGATTCGCAAGGCAAATATATCATGATCTCTGCAAGACCGACCTGAAAGCTATAGGATATAATCTATAACCTGTAGGTATTAACTGTCTGTGAGGGTGAACTAAAACAAATTTATATATATGTGTGTATATGTATCCAATGTCTATTCAATGCTAGTAGCTGTTCAGTTGACACGATTTCGTGATGAAAGTTTGCGTTAGCTAAAAAAAATCTAATCAATTACGATTCTTAGAATCAATGAAAGAGATTTAAACAACTCATATAAATGAAATAATACTTTAACTAATTTTTTAATAAACAATTTTTTACGAACAAGATTTTCACTGTTTACTGAAAATATTCTTGTGAGATTTTAATGATATAGATTAAGTCAAAAGCATATTCACATGAGGTTTAATAAGATAGTTGTAAACTTTACTGGAATGAAAGTATGAGCAAGTACAATTTGATTGTTTGTTGTGCAAACTAATTCATAGACAATTGACAAATCAACAAAAACACAATAATTATACACTAGCTAGCCAATTATTAAGTATGAATAATTGAGCAAGTGACATTGTACCCATTTAATGCATTCAGTTTAATTTATCTTTAAGCTTGTATGTGTGGAAGTTTGCATTGTTTTGCGTATGTATGATTTAGTATATGCAAATTCATTTTTATAGCATTGATCATTGTTTCTTTTTAGACCACATGATGAACGGTATGTTAAATAAAAGTTTGTTGTTCAATAGCTTCATAATATGACTAAAATTATTGTTAACATTATGTGAATAAAAAATGTTAAAATATATTTTTTATTTTTATAAATTCACCAATTAATTACTGCATTTTTATGTATACGCGTACTTGTGAAGACCCAATGGAATCCAGAATGCAAGTTTCATCCGACTTAGTACTCGTTCAGTGAATATAACTGCATCCCAGATTTGATGTTTAGTTGAGGAATCGAAGCCCCCCACTGTTCACTTCATATGACATCACGAAATCTACTTAACTACTGAGTCCAGACAGCCACTGGCTTGGGCATTGACAGTTATTAGTTATTTGTATCTTCTCATTGATATTTGGAGACTGCAGTTGATCATTCACTTTGGCAATATGGAGGCATTCAGTGCAGGCTGCAAATATACAAAAACGACTGATCAGCTGAAGTCTTAACCACCAGTTCAAAGACTTAAATAATCAATAAAATTGAATTAGGCCTACTGATTCATTTTACATGAAATATTAACGTTGGCTGGAAACCAGTTGTTAACTAATTATCTTCGCTTGGTAGATGATTGAGGTTAGATTGTAAGGAAGTTTGAAATCGCAACGAAAATATTATTTGTTGCTACCTCATTTTTACCTTGTTTTATAGATGATTTTTGCTAGTTATGAAAAGTTTATTTGAATGAAATGAATAAATATTGTTAGATTGTTAGGTCAGGTATATTAATGATATATAAAAATGGTATATGTGTAAACTCCCAGTGAGTAGAATGTTGACTTTCTAATGTTTCGTAACTTAATAGAATCTACGTCGTCAGAGAGTAAAAAAAATTCGTTTTTACAAATACATCATTATTAGTATCACTGAATATATTTTTCAATGCTCAGTTTGTTCGAAATTATCAGATTAAACTTTAGTAATGATAATTACAAAAGAATTCAACTGGATTAAAGGAATTTCAATGATTTGAAAATTACATTTGATTATCTACAATACTGTGTGTTTGTTTTTTGATTAAAGTGGTGTACTAGCTGCAGCAGCTGCTCCGTAAGTGAATCAATGCGTTATTCTCTTAATGAAGACATTTAATTTACATCAATTTCGTTCATTCATACTTTCATATCGTTGCATTCACATTCTAAATGAATCATTGCAGCATCGTATTCGGACTAATTGGGTAAGATAAGTTGAAAATAATATTCTAATTCTTCTCGCGTATAGTATTCAATGATGCTGAAGATAGGAATAATCAATTCAGTTGTATTTATAATTCATGTCTCATGTGAAATTGTATGTCAACAATGACAATCCTTATTTAAAAAACTTCACTTCAATATTTACGATGATAATTTTGAATTGAGAACTAGATCAGACAAAAGTCATCACCCGACGACCTCATGAGAATAGATCTATTGAAATAAATAATGATTATAACAAACATGAAATGAATGTGAATAAAAGTGATTTGCAACAATACCATTTGAAAGTTAAAAATTTATTCGGTAATTCATCAATAACATCTTGTTTTTCGGCTTTGTTTGCAACAACATTAATTATAAAAGCACATTGTTGTGATGTGATTAGACTTATTTACTGCGACTGGACAAAAATACATTCTTATCGGAGGAATGTTATAATATCTGTCAAAATGTCATCATAGTTTTTAATTTTCTTGAAAATTCCAGGTATGGTTAGATTGATTTTCATGGAACAAAAGTAAAAAAACATAATGGTTGATAAACTATGTCGACATTAGTCATTACAATAATAGTGTTTCACAATGAATCAACCTACTAGAAATCACTATATACTTGTCAATATTGATTTAATTATAACTGAATTCAATACAAGAATTAAACTACCAATGCAATCATCATCATCGTCATCATTAACACACACTGTACACAAACTTAGTAGCATTGAATTCTTGATAAAATACAACTAGGAATGAGATATGAATTAAAATAAAAATCAGAAAAAAAAATTGATGAGTGAAAATTATTTATATTTAAATATTTATATATTTTATTCAAATAGAGAAGCGATTGGTTGGGTTTTGTGAGTTTTTGATTTTTTTTAATTTTTAAATAAAATACAAAAAAAATCAAATTCAAGATGATATATAAAAATAGGATAGTTGATAAGTTGTTGTATTGTAATTTCACTGATATCATAAAGTAATTTAATAGTGAAATAAAATATCATCAGCTTTTAGATTGTCTTATGTTTGTTTACCTTCTTCTTAAACTCTACCGAACATTCACTTATACACACTTATTGATTAGTACAATCTCTTAATGAAACAATTATCTGTTATAAAATATAAGTCGTTCCCTTGTAATCTTTAATAGAGTCCAGATTTGGCATTAAATAGAAACGATTAATCACAACGTTGAATTTTCTTACTTCTTAGAGATCAATTAAATTTTAAATATTCCTTTTCTCATAGAAATTTATGGTCATAGATAAAACAGATAATAATTGTACACATCTTTGAGAGGGAAATTTTTAACTAACATCTTGACAGTGTGACTCGTAAGCACTTTCACTATAACTCATTGCAATAGTGTAAAAACTGTTGAAAATTGATGTTCTACTACTTTGAACTAATAGAAAATAAGGAAAAAAATCAATTGAAACAATATTTAAATCTTTTAAAATCATGATTTCTTTGTCAAGTTTTCATGTAGAACTTTGCTAGATAAAAATAATATTATAGACTAATAAATATTAAACTTAATCAATTCTTATTTCATATAAATAAATAAATAATTAACATTGGAAAATTCAAATGTTCTATTCATGAAAGAAATCATGAATTATTTGCCTTATTGAAATTATAAAATGAATCATTGTTAGACCCCCATTAAAAAACCTAGAAGCACTGAATAGCCGTTTCGTTTTTGGTAAGGAACTCATCGGAGAAATATGCTCACTAGTGATTAGCTTTGTGAGGAAATTCTCGGAGTTCTAGTGAGAAGAAGATGTGACCAGCGGAGTTCAATCTAGTCAGGTGTAGGCAGTTATCTACCAAAAACAAGTGGGTGAGGTCACGTAAAATCCTTAGATCGATCAGAGTTAGACAGTAACACCGTTGGATGCCAGGTCAGTGGTCCAGAGGTTAAGTGCTCACGTGCGGGACCGCTCCTGCGTGTAGCCGGAGTTGCGGTTGCGCGCTTTTGATGGGTCCCACACTAGAACGAAACGGTCGTCCAGTGCTTCCAGGTTCCTAATGGTGGTCTAACAATAATTCACTGATGATTTCAATGTGTAATTAATTATTATTATTAAAATAACACAAAATTCAGTTATCATGTATCATTCGTAAAATAACTCTGATTGATTGCTATAATGATTTTATTCACCAAATTAATTCGATATCGGAGTAACTTGTTAAATGCGATTATATATACATAAAAACTACATATTTCTGACAAACGATTAAACATTTTGAAGTGATGAAGTTATTTAATTTTCAGTTTACTCTGTCTCTTATACTGTAAATCATTTTACAACAATGATTATTCAAGTAAAATCGAGTTCTATTTTAGTTTCAATTTTTCTAAACCTGAAAAAAAAACTACCACCATTCAAGAGTAATCGTATGTTGCAGTATACAATTCAAACGGAACTATAGTCCTACATGAAGTTGGTCTCGATGAGTTTATCTTTTAAGGATGTACATTTTTATTTGATGACCAATTTTAAACTTATTTTCACTTCAAAATTTAATTGTTCTTTCTTCTTCTTCTACAGAAATTACATAGCCAGCTAAGTGCAAGGCTTTGCAAAACTGGAACTAAACAAAGTTGATAAGCAAAGAGATCAATGTTTATTTTTTTTAACTGGTTAACTGAAACACAGAAATTGAAATGAAATAAAAATTCATATTTTTAAAAATTTATAACTGACGTTTTGTTTACTGTCAAATAAACGTAATTGAATTGATCTATTATATTTTGTCTAATAATTTGAAATGTGAAAATCGAAGTTTAAGTGTGCTATTTTCAGTGCCGATAGAAATATGATCAAGAATGTTGTAATAAGCTAAACTGATCCAATGACAAACAGTTCATAATTCTGTTGGTGTGTTATAATCAAAGGAGGAAGCTTTTTCAATGAGTCTTGTTGTTGAATAAACCATCAAACACTCTGTTTAAGGCTTTATATATAATATGATTGCAAATAATAACTGCATAATAATTATTGGTAAACACATATGTATCGATACAGTGCAGTATTGCTAAAAATTACACGTCGTTATTTATAGATGTCAACTTCTAGTACTCAAAAGTATGATAAACTACAACGATTCATACCTTCAACTAAGCTTCACAAGTAGAAATCTTTTAACATTTTTCAACGCATTGTATAATTTATGTATGAATGTTGGTCGACTCTTGCATATGTTGATGTAGTTTTTATTCAGAAATTTTGTTTTGCTAATTAGAACGAAGACTGAAGGATTAGTAACTCCCAAAACTAATTATGATAGACAGAATACATAAATATGGTAATATATTTTTGCAATCATGATGCAATAAGAATATGTATAAAGCTAATCTATAAATTAGTTTTGAGAGTTACAGACGCTTCAATCTTCTTTCTGATTTAACAAAACAAAATTTTGAGTAAGGACTACCATAATCATATACATAGAGTCACACTTATTACTAATGTCACACTTTACTTGTCTCGTCTCCAGCTACGCCGTGTTTCAAGATACATCTGTTCTCGAAGTATATCACACAGCAAAACCTTTGGTATCCTCTTGTCAAGAATACTAGTTAAATCCATGAGATTTGTCCTTAAGAAATGCAAAAATAACTTTAATCGAACCTTCATACATGCGGCTTATTTGATGATTTCCTCAGAACTTTATAAAGTTGAATGCACACGATAATTTGACTCCTGAAATTTACTTAATTGAATTAAGAAGATGATTAACGTGTTGTTTGTCAATTCAACGCTAATATTTCTATAGGAGCTGTACACAAACACAAACTACCTACTGAACTAAGAAAACCACATGTAAAAACGAAGCTTTACTGGCTGAAACCGATTCAGTAATATACGGACATGAGTTTATAAATATATATTTTTATCTCTAAGGAAAAAGCCATATATATTCAGTATATAAAGCTTATTTTCTAAGAAAGTGAAGCAAAATCTTTGCTAAAATACATAAAATAAACTTGATCAAAAGATGTGGGTACTCTGTGTTACAGGATTTTTCTCTGGTTTAAGGTGAAGAGTACACGGTGCTCAGTGCATTTATACTATCTTTACTCCCTTTTATTTTACCTATTCTATTTTTGTGAAATTCCTGAGTATTTACTTCAGTTGCCAACGTTCATTTCGTTTATAGTAATAATTACATTCTCTTAGTACAAATGACACCTACTAGCAATTTTTACGCAGTTCTTGGATCTTCATTTAAACATAATAGCTTCCATATTTTAACGCTCATTTATATATATATATATATATATATATATATATATATATATATATATATGTACACGTTTCGTGTAAACGAAATACATACGCCTAATCTTTATCGATCGAATCGTATCTGTTGTATGTTCTACGATGCGAGTCGGTGATAGACTGTTTTATCCAGCTTCGTTTCAGACACATTAACCACTCTGTGAACTTCGATCTCATCATACTCTTCTCTCCATTTGTGACTTCGCTCAACGCTTAACAACTCTAGGCATTAGAGTAGTTTAAATAATTTTCAAACCAGACGATACTACCAGTGTCGCATCAATATTATACAATCACTGTCAACTTATTTGATACTTGGAATCACTGTTCTTTGTAAAACCCAAAACTGTGATACCTGAAATGGATCATAAGTAATTATTTACATGTAATTTGTATTGAGCAATAAATTAGTCACTTCCTCATTGAAAATAATTTCCATTTATTAACTGAACTACTAGTAAGTAGTAAATTGTTTGCATAAATTAAAATGATGAAACGTGATATTTTATTATCACTGAAGAAAATATCGCTTGAGGTATCATAATTTTGTTATCAACAAAGTAATTTCAGTCGCCCGTGATTAGACATTCAAATAAACACTTTCTGTAAGATTTTCTACTTAAATATTTCGCATAATTTGCTACAATATTCTTCTAAAACAAGCATGATTTGAATCTATACTTAAGCAGATTTACGTAACTTCACATTTCAATATAATAAAACTTCTGAGGTGACAATTTGTCCAAAAAAGTTTTTTCTAGAAGTCGAGTTGTATCTTCTAATCAATCACACGCAAAATTAATATGTAAAAGTGTATACTACCGTAGAAAACTACCTTCGAATAGTTGATACTTGAAGTTGGATTTATCTCTGAATTGATTGCATATTCCCGTGTGATCTAATGTTCATCTAAGCTTCATTTCCCTCTTTTCTTTCTCTTAAAAAACGTTATGTTTTCAAACTACTAATACTTTAACCTGGGAAAACCGGAGTTTATTTTCTGTAGATAGCTCTTTTTTAAGGATTAACTCTATCTTTCATTTTCTGAATAGATTTCTCGAAATGATCAGAATTACACATGATTAGAAGTATCATTGTTTGTCACGTACTCGAAGTAAAGCATATGAAAGACACCGATTTCACTTTCAGAATAATTAGTGAATGGACTTTTCAGTAAAGAGGACTATGCTATTCTTCTCTACTCATTTTTTCCAAATATTCAATCTGCAGTTAAATTTCGTAGTATTGAATAGATTTGAATCCACACTGAGTTCACTTACTGCCTACTATCGTGACTTCTCTAAAATTATCAAAAAGTCAGATCATTTCGCTGCAGAAGTCATAAATTTCATGTTTTTATTACGTTTTGATAAATTTATGGTTTTATTTTACATCAATTTTGATCATCGGGTATTTAAACCTGATCATTTACAGTCAGGTTTCTCCTCAGCATGTATAAAATGCGTTCATGACAGAAGCCTAAGTTGTATTGCAATTCATGATAAGTCATCACGAACACTTAAAAATTCTGATTGGATGATCTAATTCTACAACCAGATTTTTTTCTAAAACTAAAACATCTAGATGGTAGTGTAGTGTACACATCTTACGATGAATAATTCAAAAATTTTGATGAAATTTTGCTAGCACATGAGTTAGATATCTCTTGATTAGAAGTTCGTTTATGAATGTTGTAAAGTAGTAATTGAAATTCCGCCAGTCAAAAGAGTACAACTAGATGTTAAAAAAAACACTTCCCAACTACAGAGAGCGAACAAATAAATTTTTCTTCGATGTTATATAATAGAATTATCGATATTATTATCACCATGTATCACTACTACCTATGACAGAGAAATTTTTATTCGGATCATGAATAGCACCGGATAATTATTTTATCATGCAATGGTAATCCCTGGCAGCGTTCATCTATGACCCATTCACTAACAATTTAAACTCGTCTTTACGATCTCATGAGAACATCCAAACACAAGACAAGTAATATGGGGTGAAATAATATTTAAATAGACGGATATTTCAATAATGATTTCTACTTATTCGTGTTGGACTATCCCAAATTTCATAGCATATGACTGAAGACATCTAAATCTGTATCTGTAAAATGTTAAATTGACAGAATGCTACTTGTCAAACATTTATCTTCAAGAGCATTACGAATTGTAAATTATACCGAATGTTGAGGGTTCGATAATTTTAATTTCAGTTGGATAAAATAAACAAATTTAATCATACTTATGATTATGCATTTATTTAGAGTACAGTTAGAATAGATTTATTATTGTTTAATTATAATCTTGTTAGCAACGTATGCGTTTTATCATTTAGGTAACATATTTCTACTGGAGTGAGATAATGATTCGTTTTGAAGTGCTACCACATTAGTGCTTTGTTCATACTGATGAACACTATAGACTATAAAATGACGATTACGTGTTTTGCTTCAGTTCATGAATGAACAATTACTGTATAAAGCATTTATGCATAGAACCTTCCATTTGACCAAATGAAAACACCTACATTGACACAATGGACAAATTTCAAAGTTTCTGTCATCAGATTATGCTAGGCTGTGTTCATGAAGGAAAATATCGGTAATTTAAACAAAAAAATTACTGCAAAAATCAAATTTTCAAATGATCTAACATACTATCGAACACTAATTGTTTTGATATTTGGAAATACGATTGTCAACGTAAAGGAAACTAAAATATAAACAAGACACATATTTTTGTTGAATTCCAGAAGTGAGAAACTGCTCAATATGTCCAACTAAATTAATAAAATTTAAATGCATTTTTATAAAGGTTGTTCAACATATTCAGGTGTCTAACAATAGAGTTGGTAGGAAACTAATTCAAACAATTACATTGAACATTCAAGTTAAAACTCGTATTCATAAATATATTTATCATTGAATATTTTATTGCAACTTAAAAATTATTGTTACCGTTCTAATATTGTTGTTACATATTGATCTCAGATAATTTAACGGAATTGTAAATAGTTATCATTTTCTTTTCATATTAATAGTCAATTTAGATCGACTTTATGTTTGACTTTCAAAGAATTCTCAGTTCCAACTAATTCAACTTTTTGGACATACGTAAATGTCTACTTATTGCTTAATATCAAAACCAGACAGTATAAAAAATCATGTTCTATAAGAGAAAATATCTGCTTAAAATAACGTCAATTTACACAGACCTATTTCAGAGAAGACTCATATTGTTGAATACTGAAAACAGCTCAGTAAAGAAAATATGTTTTACAACCTTTCCATTTATAGTTACGAATTAGTTTAAAAATGTGATCTTAGTGAAATACTACTCTCAGATTCTGGTAATTGGAATTCACTAATCGATGTGATTAAATAGAAAATGTTCAATAGAAAAATGGTTTGGATAAAAAAAAGGTGGTGAGCATGAATAACTCTGTAAAATGATC